AAAACAGAAGTGAGGAAGAAGGAGAGAAGAACACATCACAACTACAAAGGGGCTTGTGATTCTACCTCTTCTCTCCAAGAAGTTCCTCCCGTAGTTCAAATAGTCCTTCAACCACTGAGGACAAATGTTGGTGAGTAAATTTGCGCTCATTGGATCATTGTCTGTGTCCGACATGAATTCTTCTCCATCGTAACCAAACCGTCGATATCCATGAACTTCTCCAGTCTCACTGTCTAATTCACAGCCAGAAAGCACCTGAACTACGTGAACACCTGGAAAGGAGAGAGAATGTAGTAAACCAGAGACAGACTGCAGCTCAGTCACTTTGACAGGAGGTGTGACAAAAAAGAAACGAGACATTGGTTGCCGATCCCACGATTCAGCAGCCACACAGTCATGAAGTCAACAACATCTCAACACTGTATGGGTAGATCTGAAATCTTAACATTAAAACTCAGATGTGGAGGATAAATGATCAGCTTTGACGGTGTAAACTGTGTTTTTAAAATTGATAAATAGCATGTAAACATTTGTAAATAACATTAAAGACTAACTGCTTCACTCTTAGTGTCCCTTAGAGTCTTACCTGCTTTGTACATCAGTTTCTATTCAGTCTATTCAAGTTTATTCCATCTACCATTCAATATCCTCATACAAACAAGTGAATGAAGAAATAATAGCAAAACATACCATTAAACATCAACTATACCTGTAGTATGGTTAAAGTGCTTGTTGAAGTCTTCAGTAAATGCTTTTAATGTCTGATAGACGGCACGGCATTCCCGAACATGCCACTGGAAGTGATGAGGTTCACTGTCAAATAACTTTTTGACCCAGACCTGCCTGGGTTCTGCTCTCTTGTTGCTGTCACAGTAACCCACGGGAACGTTGTCAACCATAGCAACACCCACAAGGTGGTTTGGAGTCCAGAGGATGTAGTAAGGTAATATGTCAGGGAGTGTTCCACTAGAGGACAAAAAAAACAAAAAAAGGTTTCAGGTTTTTGAATAGCAGTCTGTAAAAATGAATTTTCATAATCTGTCAGTTCTGAAATTATCAAACCAGCCCATCTGGCACCAACAATCATGACAAAGTCAGTTAAATCACCTTTCTTCCCCATTCTGATGCTCAGTTTTAACTTCTGCAGGTTGTCTTGATTACATCTACCTGCCTAAACGCATTGAGTTTCTGCCATGTGATCGGCTATTTAGATGTTTGTGTTAACGAGCAGTTGAACAGGTGTACCTAATAAAGTGAGTGTATGTTTAAGCCAAATCTAAACTGGTTATTAGTGGTTTACTAAAACCAAAACAAGATGATTCAAATTCACCACAGGGGCACTTTACTAAAGCTCTTTGTCCTGTTCTTTAATTCAATCTGCATTTTGCCAAATTTAATTCTGATATGGAACAGAATACAAAACATCTGTGGTCTCTGTTGGCATTGTAGCAACCTTTTGTTGTGTCATAATGTCCAACATTTAAAAGAAACTACACCATCTCATCAAACAAATCACTTTCTACAAAAGCCTGCATGTTTAAAACTCTTAACACTTCTTACCTGAAAGTGCTTCGGAAAATAAAACGAGCAGAAAAACAAGCTCCATTGTCTCTGTGGCGGTTGAGTGACTGCTGCTGGGGTCAAGTGTGTAAAACTGCAACAAAAAATCCAAACAACTCGAATAAAAATCTGAGACAAAGAGTGTTTCTTATCAGCTCAGGTGATCAGAAGGAAAATAATGAACAAAACATGTTTGACTGGAAGAATTGGGTTACGTATTATGTGAGGAGGAGTCTGAAACACCTGAAGATTTCATCCAAGAAAACACATACAAGTAGGAAACGGTTCAGACGAGGCAACAGTAAGTATTTCTGTTGTAAAACTTTCCTTTGCCTCTTCTATAACATCTTAAAAGGACGCTGTGGAGGAGGGAATGTTCCATTAAACAAGACAAGGATGCATTCAACAGCAGCATTCAGGGTTGTTAAAACTCTTCATGCTTCTATGTGCCCTCGCTTAAAATAAAATGTTCTTACTATGCACCATTTATCCAACTGACCTGCAAGTTTATGAAACAACACACTTATTAAATACCTGCAGATTGATTTTAAAAGCTACAATTAAGCAAAATAATAAAAACAATTTAAAAAAATGTTAGAAAACGGCTATTAAAAAAATACAATTATTGCACTTAGGCAATTTCTTTTTGTAAATGGTCTCATCAAGGTGTTTACATGACTTTTCTATTAGCTCCACTTTATGTTAACTCATTATCATGTTAATAAGTTCACAGAATCCACCAACATCTCAGTACAGAATGTTACAACTCAAACCAGAGCAGATCAACAGAAATAACTGAAAACTGTGTCTTTACTTTAGAATATAATCTGAATAAAAGAGTTCTAGTCTGTGACATATAAGCTCATTCTCTAAGCTGCTCTATCGATGAATCTCCTTTTGACTTTACAGCTATGCCCAGTGAAATGTGCTGACACAGACGTCTAAAATGTTAGAATATGACACTGAAAATGACATAAAATGACAAAACAGAATATTATCCCCGACATTAAATGAGCTT